TAGCTTGAATTCTTCATAACCTCTGAATAGTGGGTGACCAAACGGGTCATGGGTGGTTTAGTATACTACTAAAACTCTGAGATTGTTTGTATGTTTGTTTGTGTACTTTTCTGTAATTAAATACAGCAAACTGTGCATAATAGCGCCATATTTGTAATGAAATAAGAATAGAAACAGAATAAAACAAGTTTCGTTAAAATCAGGCCACGGGTTACCGAGTTAGTTCCGTTTTTCGGGTCATTTTTCGTACATTCCATTATTTTAAAACTTCGTTTTCCACCTGATGAATCAATTTAAAATATCTTCTATACAACAATATATGCACAACAGAAATTAAATGATGAGATGAAAATGTGTTATAATGGCACGTAGAAAGAACAACAATAAAATGGACCTACAATATTATTGACTATTTGCAAATAGTAACTATGGAGACGAGGTAATAACATAAAAATCAAGTCGAGAACAACAACAAAATTTTATAAACGAAAACATCTCGCCGAGCATTGGCTATTGTATTATTTCCCTGTCAATGTTCCCATCTTCATTAAAAGGCGTAAGATGACAAAAACAAAATCTTGAAGAATCTATCTGTATACTACTAAAACTCTGAGATTGCTTGTTTGTTTGTTTGCTTATTTTCTCAGTGAAAAAATCATTCACACTACCGTTCGCGCTCTTTACGAAACTTCTTACTTCACTTGTTTGAAAAATGAAATGGTCTTTCCTTTTACTCCCTATCAACAATCAAATATATTTTCTTGAATTATGAATAACACGAATGGATTGAAATTTTTAATTAAATTATCTCAAAATACATCTTGATTTCGGTACAATAATGAAATTAGCTTGAATTCTTCATAACCTCTGAATAGTGGTTGACCCAAAGAGTCACGGTGGTCTAGTCATTATTAATATTATCATCAAGAATTTTGTAAAAAACTATGAATTTCATAAGATTATTTACGAGATCAAACCATGTTGTGTTACATAGTGATGTTTCTAAGGTAATTACGTAGTTGTTCCATAGTGCTAAGAAAGATTGTTTGCGAAATAATGTGAACATTTTGCATTTGTAACGTCCTCCTTTAGGACAGGCTCCACCAGTGGCACAGTGGTATATCTGCGGACTTATACTGCTAGAAACCGAGTTTCGATACCAGTGGTGGAAGAGCACAGATAGCTCTTTGTGTAGTATTGTGCTTAATAACAAACAACAACAACCTTTAGGACAGAGGTAAGTTTACGATTTACAACGCTAGGATCTGGGGTTCGATTCCCCGCCGAGGACGCAGCAGATAGCCCAATATGGCTTTGCTTTAAAACAAACAAACCATAACAAAACACGCACTTGGAAAATGGGTGTAGGCACAATTGGAAGGTGAAAGTAATAAGTTTGTTTTCTGTTATTGTCCCCCCCCCCCGGTGGTTCACCGGTAAGTCTGAGAGCTATTAACTCTAAAAATCGGGTTTCGATACCCGAAATGTGTAACACACAGGTAGTCCATTGTGTAGCTTTGAGCTTGACAACAATAACAAAAAATCATTGTTTTCAATTTTCTAATATATTACAGGATATTAGGCCAAATCGATACAAAATTCACATACGAAATCTTTATTAATTACCCGGAATTTGAGACTTTTTTTTTCTATTTTCTTCGTTTGGCAGGGTTACTTCCAAATGGAGTGTTTCTCCACAAAACAAAGCATCAAGATAAATGTAACAAAAGGAAGTACTTTTTTTAGTATCTGTTTATTTACTCTGGGTAAGTCTGATGCTAACGATTGAGTATTTGTTTATATGCTCTGGGTAAGTCTGATACTAACGATTGAGTATCTGTTTATTTGCTCTTGGTAAGTTTGATACTAACGATTGAGTATCTGTTTATTTGCTCTTGGTAAGTTTGATACTAACGATTGAGTATCTGTTTATTTGCTCTTGGTAAGTTTGATACTAATGATTGAGTATCTGTTTATTTGGGTCTGTGTAAGTCTGATGCTAACGGTTGAGTATTTTCGTATTTACTCTGGGTAAGTCTGATACTAACGATTGAGTATCTTTTTATTTGCTTTGGGTAAGTCTGACGCTAACAATTGAGTATCTTTGTATTTACTCTGGGTAAGTCTAATGCTAACGATTGAGTATTTGTTTATATGCTCTGGGTAAGTCTGATGCTAACGATTGAGTATCTGTTTATATGCTCTGGGTAAGTCTGATGCTAACGATTAAAGAGTCGCTAACATGAGAGTTGTTTAGTCAGAAATACGATCTGGAAGATATACAGTTTGTAACTCGAGATCGACGAGTTAGTACTAATTGTCTTTCATCATAAATTCATACGAATAAGTTTTTCGAATTCAGATCAGCCGAAAATTGTTACGTAAGTAGAGAACGGTAATTTTCAAAATATTTAATATGATTTTAAAATGATTATGCCAAAACATCACAACAAAGTAAAAGGTGTGTTTGATTTCAGAATAAAATTATTATGAATTTATACGACAATGCAATTTGAAGAATTAAATCTCTGCTGCTCATGACACGTTTCTACTGACGTTTATTGCTGTAATGCTGATTGAACTTTATAAAACATAGCTGAATGAAATAAAAACGATCAGAAAACATATGTATTTTTATGACCTTATGTTGTACTTACATGTTGTGTCTTGAGTACAGCTCTAGAGAAGCTGTAAAGCTAATTGTACTTTAAGAAAACATTACTGTAACATTATTATTTTGTCAGACAGAATCGTTAAAATTGCCTGATAAAATTAATTCAAAGTCCAGTTAATGTAAATGATAACAAATTATTTTATTCCTTCTTTGTCGCCTCCTAGCGGCACAGCGGTATGTCTGCGACTTACAACGCTAGAAACCTGGTTTTGATACCCGTGGTGGGCAGAGCACAGATAGCCCATTGTGTAGCTTTGTGCTTAACTTCAACTAAACAAACAAAAACAATCTTCTTTGACATTTTTACAAGCTTGAACATTGTGGTAAATGTTATGAAACGTTTACAAATTACGCTAAATGCACCCCACTATGTTAAAAATAAACTTACTTGTAATAAAGTAACTCAATATGAGTGATAGCTAACACTGATCCAAATAGTTTACTAAAAATGAAAACATGCTGAATTATTTATTCTACTGACTAGAAACAACTTTATCTTCTTAGTTATCTTTTTAATTATCCTCCTTGATGCATCATTTAACCCCATATTTATAGTCTATCCTCGAATTTACTAGAAAACTCTGACGTCAAAATTTTATAACTTCCTAAGCCTACCTTATTAAATTTAACATCGTCATTAAGACCCGCAACTCCGTCTAACTAGCATCCAATTTATCACAGGAAAATTACAGCTTACAACAAAATGTTTCCTGCATTTTATAAGGTACTTTTACTTTTTTCTGAAACTTTTATAAATTTAGGACATAAACTTGACTTTAATTAACACAAACAAATAAGGAATTTTTTTCTTGGACAAACTTTTAGAAAGGACAAGGTACGTATAGGTACGCTAGAAAAATGTTATTATTCTAATCTTGTAGAATAACTAAACATACGAAGTTTCTTTGGCTTTTTTTTTTTGAGTTAATGAAATTAATTATTATTAACTTCTAAGTAAATTTTAGAATAAAATAATTACTTATTTTACATTCCAACTGCCCTGACAAACTTAATGAAACGTACTGATTAATTAATGTTATTAGTTCAGCCGAGTTGAAAGCTTTTAGGTTTAATTATAATTTAATTATCAATGTTGCCACGGATAATTATAAAACGATTACATTTTATTGCATCTTAGCTCTACTATGAAAATATGAAATACGAAAGTCATTCCTGTCGCTGGAAAGATATGGTTTAATAAATATCTTGTTTATGTACACTAATAAAGCTAATATATATATAAATATAATAG